TCCTAGACTGAAGTGGTATTGATGTGAGGTGGTGTACATGTTGGGTCCTGGTTACTATCTCCACCTGGTGTTCTGGTGCATCTAGTGTTGATGTTAATCCTAGAATGAAGTGGTATTGATGTGAGGTGGTGTACATGTTGGGTCCTGGTTACTATCTCCACCTGGTGTTCTGGTGCATCTAGTGTTCATGTTCATCCTAGAATGAAGTGGTATTGATGTGAGGTGGTGTACATGTTGGGTCTTTTTTACTAGTTGCATCTGTTGCCACAGTCCTGACACAACATACACATAAAGTATATGTCTGTTCATTTGTAGTTTTTCTGCAGGCAAGTCTTTTTAGTCCTTGTCTAAAGTCTCTCAGAAAAAGAAAATAAATGCAGGGATTGATTGCTGCTAGAAAGTACCAAAGATAAGTAAAGCAAAAAAACATATTTCGTATTATATCTTTATCCATCGACAATACGGAAGGAGGTTGCAACCAAAACAAGAAATGCAGTACACCTAAAGGAGACCAACAGATGGTGAACACTACAATTATAGTTATTGACATGTAGAATATCCTTCTGTTTCTCTGCTGTCGTGAACGTATCATTTCTATTGCAATTATTTCCTTGACGTTGTTCAAGCTTTTACGTAGTTTATAGTGTATAATGGTATACAAGATTATGATTGCGATCAAAGGAATGATAAAGCCCACTAATGCAATTATAGACAGGAATATTATAAGAGCTTTCTTTGGGTCAAATGCTGGTGACCATGAGTATTCACACATCGTGTAGCCCCATTCCTTTGATAGACGATTGGTGTAAAAGGAAGGAGAGAAGAGAGCCATGGCTACGAGCCAAGGGAAAGACATCATCAAAAACCATCCTGTTTTACAAGTTAAAATTTGCCTGTGAGAAGGGTAAACAACAGCTATAAACCTTTGGACTGTAATGATTAACAGACTGATGGATGAAATGTATGGTGATATAGCAGAGAGGAAGGAAACCAGTTTACACAGTGCCTCACCGATAGTACCATCCACTAACCATTCACCAGGCCGTAATATGTTGTTTGAAATCATCAATGGTATTCCTATCAATGGAATGAGCAAGTCTGATACAGCCATATTGACAATCAAGTAGTTCATATTTGTTTTCAAGTTTTGATTGCAATACACGACAGCGATGACGAGTAGGTTAGCAAGTAGAGACCAGACAAGTAGAATACACCACAGGGTTATTTTAGTATGAGCTGCTAGTCCTGATGTCTCTCGCAGTGTTTCATTAGCATGGGATGAATTGTTCAAGTTCATAGTGAATCCTTGACGGTGTCTGGGAAATAATTACAAATTATATTATTAATGATATATTATTATGGATATTATGTCGTTGTCAATTCATCATTTATATGTGATATCATTAGCTCAACTCATGATCGATCTATAAAGAATGCTCGTCTCCTGTAGCCGTATCGAAAGCGAGAGGGGAAAAACGAGGTTCATTTTCAAAGATGATTTACCTTTTACTGTTGCAATAGATTTGCCGATCGTACACGGAATTGTTCAATGACCAACGTTAGGCAATAACGCCGAGCTGCAGGCGACTCTTCGTGTTTCCAATTTTTGGTGGCTCCTTTGAATTTCTTGCCCGATCCAACAATAGACGGCGCAGAGCAGGATTAAGTACGTTAAAAGCAAATAGCTGCACGTTTATTGCTTCCTGATTTACACGATTACTATAATAATGATAATAATAATAATAATATTTATTTATATAGCGCTAAATCCACTAATTGCTCAGAGCGCTCACTAATAAAAAATAATACATAATTAACTAAGCTAATTAAAAATTAAGATATAAAAATATGTGAAACAAAACGATAAAAATTGTACTAATTGTAAAATTATAAATTAAAAGCTAACTTAAACAAATGTGTCTTCAGAGAATTCTTAGAATTTTAAATTACTATCGGTTAATATAAACAGCGTTTATTACTCCGCTAGATCTTCTTAGCAAGTAGGTTTGTGTTCCATTAGTATACGACCTGTAGAATGATCAACGTTAAGGTTTCAGAAGATAATTTCTAGACAGTGCTCTCCCACACCTGATGATCTTGATGACCAATAGTACTATGATATTATTAGTGCAGTAGGTTTGTGCTCGTACACAACTTGTACAATGATCGATCAACGTTAAGGTTTCAGAAGGTAATTTCTAGGCAGTGCTTAAAAGCTGTTAATTGTTCATCTTTTCAATAAACGACGAAATCAGTGGAATGTAGTGTTTTCACTAGGACCATTTAAACTAGCTTAAATATAACACCGGATATAAGGCAAAGTTAAACTACCTAGCAAGATGGTTTAAGTCGTCCTATCAAATAAATGGGCCAATCACAGTGTTATTCTTGAAAGGTGGTTGTCGGATTAAAACACCTCCAGGAATTTTAGGCAAGTTAACATTTCTAGTGAAAACACTGCCTTTTATGAAAGAGATTGTCCTCCACGCACTGTTTACACAAGGTGCTACTTTTAGACCATGTCTGTATGTAATGACATTATTAGCACAGCAGGAGAAATGGTCAGGTAACAACTTCCCCTTTTAAGAATATTTAAATATTTTC